CTTAAAATGTATACACCCCGGCTTATCATGTAGCGGTAGCTTTCGGAAAGGTGGAAAACATATATTTAATACTTGCGCCGGGTATTTAATGTTCGGCTCCGCCCGAACTTAGACTTTCTTACTTGTTTTATTTACAAAATATGATAGTGACAAAATATTAGTTAAAACATTAGTGACTGGTAACAAGTAAGAATAGAAAACAATCGTGCATGATATATATTTTAAGTGTTTTTTAAGTCCGTTGCCATATGGCAACACGGGGCGAAATGTGAACTGTTCATATTTTTACCCAATTTTGATATGTTCGCTAGCCCAAATTGACCCCGTGTTGCCATATGGCAACGCAAAATACCATCATGTATGAGACGGTGTAAACAAAAATCGTTTGTATGTATTTTTGCAGGTCGTTAACTCATTCCATCTAGCTCTGAACTGCCTAATCATATTATCGTATATTTCATTGTACAAGTGTTGAAGTGGTATACAAATGTAGTTTGTCTGTTCCAGGGAAGACTTGTGGCTTTTTTTGCATTCTCACCTGCTACTTCATTATCCTGGATTCCCTTGTGACCGGCCAACCCATAGATATGTAGCCTTTTATCAGCGTCTAGCTTGTCAATGGCTTCCCGGCTGCGAGGGACGTTTATGGATGAAATACTATATAAGGAAACTGCCTTGATTGCCGCCTGGAATAGGTTTTAGTTTAAATTGATTGTCGTTTCGGTGAGGGCTAGCTCTGCAGTTATCCTCATTGTGAAAACCTCTGCCTGAAATATGCTGCAATGGTCGGTAGCCTTATTGTCCGCCTGACGCTCAGTTCCCGGCAGTAAATCCCGGCACCCACTCCCGTAACCATTTTGGAGCCGTCCGTGAAAATGTTTAGGGATCTATGGCTAGGTTTCATTTCCATCCCTCTTCCTCAATCGTTGTGCAAAACGTTCGTTTCCACTTAAAGCTAGGTGCCATGAAGCCTGTGCTGCTTGTGCTTCCCGCCCCAATTAAGTGGTGCCCAAAGGTTCTGAAATTTAATTTCCCTATGTCCGTCAATCTACGTGCGGATTTCGCTGCAGGGTTTTTAAAGAGCAGCCGTCGAAGTGGACCTCAGCGCTCCCGCGACGCACAGTGCCGCTAGGCGCTGCACCTTCTCCATTGGCCCGAGGCATAAGGACTTTTTTGCGACATTCCAGCACACTAAAGCGCCATAGAGCAGTATTGGGCTGACTATTGCTGTGTAGCACCAATGCATCAGAGTAGGTGACAAACCCCAAGTGACTCCCAGCATTTTTTTACATGCTTAAAGGGCGTTACTGGCCTTCTTCTCTCTTTCTTTGCGCATCCACAGCAGCTTACTCTCCAAGACTACTCCCAAATACTTTCTGTGGTCTTTAACTGACAGCTCGATGCTAAATACCTAGCCTCGGGGGTCTCTACAATGGGACCTTATATCTTTTTGTTACTACACCACTGACCCATACAAATTGACAAAACAACTTCTTTGTACTATAGGACAAGTAGCCTGTGCAAAATGTGATGTGGGTTTATGTTTGAAATGTTTTGCTACTTTTAATTTACTTCTTCATCCGCTTTGCACGTAGAATATGCATATATTATCAATAAATGTATTAAAACTTATACACAATGTTTCTATTATTTCATTCTTTCACCAAATACTGTCCTCTAACAATCCATCTGGAATATGCCCCGTGTTGCCATATGGCAACGGCCGATATCGGAGGAACTATACTACTCCCAAAGTTTTAGTCATATTTTTTCCTTTACTTTAACGCTACTTTTACCCTGTATATAGGTGAAACCAAAAAAATCTTAAAAAAAATAATCTGGGACAATTTGGGTTAAGAAAAGTTCATTCTTGGTGCGACAGTAAATTTGAAGAAAATGTCACGTTTTATAATGGTGATTTTGACGAATGCAGACTCTATAGCGATAAAGATATGGCGCGCAGAGCAAAATCCAGAAACTGTGAAAGATGTTGTGTAAGTTTTGCGTGAAAACGAATTGTGTGTGGAACTTGTTTCTGAACATGTACGCTTCATTATGCTGTAAATACATAAAGGGCTTGCGGTGTGTGGCTAACTTTGCAGTTACGTTCCACAGTCATGTCGCGCTTGGCTTGTAATTTTTTAATGAGAGCGACAAGCCTAGCGAAATGTCAACCAAAGAAATGTCACCACAAAAGAATTTGGCGCTATTCGCTGAAAACATTTGCAGATCTCGTGAAGAATTTATAAAACGCCGCAATATTTAGAAATTTCCGGAAAATATTAATAAATTTCATGTGCATTTGCTAGTTAAAGTGATAGATTTGTGTTTGCCATTATCGTGACATTTAAAAGCTAGCAGGAGTCCCTGCTCCTACATATTCAAGAAAATTCCACGTTTATAAGTATTTTTGTGTTTGTTTCGTTGTTTTACGCGAAATGGAGCTTCAAGAGCTATTTTCTAAATTCACTATAATTGCTATAAAGCACATCGGATGTGTAAAAAAAGCCTACGCAAAATACAAGGCGGTCAAACTATGCCAAAAACGACGCTGGTGGGTACGACCACTGAATATATCGCGCGAAGAGCTGGGGTTTTTCAAAACTTGTGCTAAACAGTTGGAATCACAAGATGAGGAGCATTTTTTCAAAGCTACTCGCATGTCGGTTGCAACATACAATTTACTTATTTCAATGTTAAGAGAAAAATTGCAGCGAATGTCTCGTCGACAATTAAAATGTATTGAATGAGTAAATATATAGTATATAAATTTATACTTATATGTTACCAAAATTGATATCTGTTAATATTTTGTAGTTACATACATACATATGTGCCAAGTAAATATCTACAAAAATACATGTTCTGTAAATATCTTACATATGCATATGCATGTACGTACCAAAGTACATAATATCGAAATTCCTTTATCTTTTATAAGTAAATAAGTACATAACTGATACTAGCAACATTTCTATTTTAATATACATACTCACTAATATACATACTCACTATTCACATACTCACGCATTTTTGCTATTTCGTTCAAAGCATATGTGGTAATTTTTCCCACCAACGTCGCTTCTTCCTGCGGGTTAAACTTGTGTGCCGTAATGATTTGAGCAATTCCTTGAAACATACTCGCGGAAGCATTTGGCACATTATTAGCATTTGCGATTGTAATGCTATTTGCAGCAGCAGCAGCAAATGTGTCGCACGTTTCCTTCAGGGAACTTGAAGTTTCCTCTAGGAAAAAACGAAAGTCGTCATCAATCTAAGGAAAAAATAATCTTTCAGATTTCTGGCCCATATACACTTATAACTAGGGAAGACAAAAATATGCACAAAAAACTTTACTCTATGATCATTAAAATTGTCTTCCCTGCTTATAACAATAAACGTACATACCATGTCGTGTTTGCGTCGCGATTGGCGTGTTGCTGTGTGTACTTCGTCTTCTTCTCCCTGCACTTCAATAACACTTTCCTCCACTTCGAAAACATTGCTCCACGTTCTTAAAATAGTAAAAAATTTATATAAATACAGATTTATCACTTGCACGCATACATATATGTGCATATACATATACTCGTATATAAGAAATGTAATTATATTCACCTCCGGCAGTACTGGAAGTTGTCCAAAAATGACATTTGGTCATAGAACCTCCATCTCGTCCTCTTGCTAGCGGAGCTTCCTGATGGCAAAGTCTCGGCCCGTTTGCACCGCGAATAATGGTCGCGCAAACCTTTCCAGCGCTTTTTACATACATTAGCTGTGAAATAAATAATATCTCGGTGAAAATCTTTAGAATTAAAAAAAAACAAATTGTTACCTTCTTGGCCCAATACTTCGCTTATCTGCAACCACACTTCCTCCTTTTTCAGAGCATTTTTATACCCCTCATCCTTAAGGTTGTACAAAAATAGATATTTTTGCTCTTCGCTAGTTAAAATTTCATCGGAAGCCATTGTTTTAAATAAATAAAATAAATATAGTTGGAAACGTATGCACAATAAATTAAAAGCCGTTTGATTTGAATTTATGAACGAAATGTCAACAGAGAGCAAATATTCTGTCATTTTCTCTTCGCACGCCTGTCAAATTGGAAAATAGAAATTGTCCGTCTACAGCTTGGTGTGCAATCGCACGACAACCCTGGCTTGTGTTGTGGATTGTGTTCGGCGCATGTGCTTTACGTGTATTCTAATTTGACAGGCTGCACGCCACACGCCACAAGCCCTTTATGTGTTTACAGCATTAGGTTGCTTGTTAAAATTCCAGGGTCATCATGCTCTAACGAGAGGAGCTTTTCTGTTTTGCGTAGGGTAGGGATGCCCAAATCAGCACATGTGTGTGGCGGGCGACTGCGCGTGCAAAGCTTTGCACAGCGGTGCTTGGCAAGCGCGGAAGCAAAAAGTTATCGGAAGGGGAAAACGAAGTCAACAGAATAGTGAGATTGTATGTGTGACAGTAATGGAAAATGAGTGTGCATTGTGCCATTTTCGGCCCTTTCGGAAGCAGCCGGCACCTTCAGCACAATCGATTGATTTTCGGCACTATTTTTGGGTAACTCAATGCAACTAATAAATATTTCTTTTGGATCCGCAATTAAAAATCTTTTTTTTTACATTTAATCGTATGTGCTTAAACTGATAAATGATATAAACATAGAAACGCAAGCAGAAGAATCTCGCTTCCACATTCTGCATATGGGCTTAACATTTTTGTTTAAACAAATTTGTCGAAATTTCATCTCTAAAGCAAATATTGAATATCATTTAATATTAACATTAGATTTAAGTAATCATTTTCAGTGGCGGGCGAGTCCGAGATGTTTAAACGATCGGGCCAGTACATTCAATTCGCGTAGATTTTTGAGAACTTTTTTCGTTGAAGGTGTTGCACTTTTTCTTCCATACTGAAATTTTTGTACATCCAATTTGTATGAAGAAAATGCAAAAAAATATTAAAAATCAACATAAATTCTTAGCTGCACTTTCACTTAATAATACTAAAATTGAATCGACTATAAAACGGCATACTGTGCCTTTATTGATTTTATTGCCGTGAACAAGCTTTTTCGTAAAAGCGCTAGCATAACCTCAACAACAAAGTTAGTATTAATGGATAAAAGAGACATCTTTTTGGATTCGGTAATAAGATTTGACATTTTAATAGCATTTCAAGTTCTTATCAAAACTTTACGACACTTACATTTGGACAAGATTTCACCATTTATCTTAATATTATGTACTTATTTTTTTATAAAAATACGGTTTATACTTCAAAAAAAGCCGTACAAATCCAAGGTTCACTCTTTTTGCAACACTCAAAAAATCAATACACTTTCGTAAAAATTTCGAGCTTTTTAATTAGATTTCCTAGTGCGCAACACCGCAAAGAGAAAAATTCAAAAAATCAATGGTATTTTATAGACACTTCAATCTTGCACCTTATTATACTAGAATCAATGGGCTACAAAAATGTTAACCCAAAACATGTCTACAAATTCTGAACAAAAACTGAGAAAATTTGATGAAGCTTTGTTGATTTTTTTCAATCTTTCAAGTTTGGATTTATTTGCAAGGTTTTTGTTTGACAATGAGCTACAATTTTATAAAAAAAAATAATTAAAATTATTTAAAAAAATAAAATAAATACCGGGTGTGCGTGTAATTTTGTCAAAGATGAAGACAATGATGATAAAACATTAATACACTATATAGGTCAGTTCATATTAATGAACATATAATGAGATCACTATCGATAAAATGGAAATCCTTAAGGGAAGTTTTCAATTTCAACGCATGGAATTTACATACATTTTTTAACTTTCAACCCCCGAATTGCTCAAATACTCCTATTTCTGCAGGATCGCCATTAGGTAAATAGCATTTCCAAAGATTTTTTCAAAATAAATAGCGATGGGGGATATTTCACCCGCCGGTGATAAGAAATCGCAATCACCATAACGCACATCACTAATATTACTGTCCACAATCACGTTTACATTCAAAATTACAATCCATAATTTCGTTTTGTAGCAAATATGAAATATAGGTATATCCATTTACTTCAGTGGTGCACAGCGTTGGCAGAGCTCCCAATTCAAGCGCAATATTTTTGTATCTGTATGTGTGTCCTCAGCAAAACAGCTCGCGCATGTGATGCTTACAGCATGAAGTACAAACGCAAACTGACCGGCTGCTAGCGGCGCATAAAGGCCTCGCCAGATAGAAATTCTTTTCTGTGTCACAGGGATACTTTTTACTGACATCGAAGTTAACTCTGGGATTTTGAGTAGAAAACGCCACATTGGCAACGCATGCATTGCCGCAACTGATAAAAATCGCCCAACTCTTAACTTTTGACGCGCGTCAATGCGGCAAAACAACAATGTATGGAACGAATTCAGACCAACTGACTTTTGGCCAATCAAAATGAGCCGTTTTGTTTGCGGCAACGTTTGCATTGTGGCGCCTCGCAATGTTATGTGCGTCTTGTCAGTCAAAAGCATCCCTGTGACGCAGAAAAGAATTTCTATCTGGCGGGGCCTTAAGTTCGGTAGCTGCGCACACACGACTTGCGTGTGAAAGCCGAGTAGCTCCCGGAGACTCCCGTGTGCATCACTGATTTACTTAAATGTAAACGGATTAAGAATCAAAGTGCTAGAAGAGATTTGAGAGTTTGGTACAAAAAGTATTTTTTATGTTGAAATTGTACTTAAAATCGGTAAACTGTACTATTGTACTTTTTAAAATTAATTGTAATGAAAAAAGTACAATTGTACTTAAAATATCAACACTGTTTCACTGGCGTGACAAAGTACTTGCTGCAGCGATGCCAGATTTGAGCGTACCCAATTTTTTACCGATAATAACTCATGCGAGAGATTTGGGTATTGGGCATTTTACAAGCCTATTAGGAAGTATACATATCTGTGTTCGTATAGAATAGTAGCTTATGTCGGAAGACTGGCTTTAGTATAATTAACCATTCGCAGCATACGATTGTGAAAGACTCACTGGCGCCGAGTCGTTGAAGAACTATTGGAAAATAAACGTAAAAGAGGCAGTTGCGATGCTAGCAAGTCAATATTCGTATAAAGTCTCATAAAAAAATTCCTTGTGGTTTAAAGAATATAGGAAATGGTACATTTTACTAAAGCCAGCCTCCCGACATAGGCTACTATTTCATACGAACACAAATATATTCGTCTACAAATAATGTTGATTATTTTAATTAAGTCCTAAGATAAGTTTGTGAATCTTATCAGTGTTCTATGTAAGAACCAAAAATCAATCACCTCGCCAATTAGAACTTTTGCTTTAAAAGAAAAATATACATAGCGCATTTACTCAATACTTGGTCTGGCATCACTGTTTGAGTATTGATGTGCCCAGCTCACTGTTGCCAAGGTCATGCATTTTACACAAAATTTAGTTCTTTTGGGAAACCAAAAAGCCAAAATAATTGGAATTCAATGCTTGGTGCGTTATTTAGTGATGCTTTTTTAATTTAAGCACACCGAATGCATAGTTACATATGTATGTATGTATACACTATACACTAATATTCTACATTAAGATGGAATTCATTTACTGAATAAAGTGTGAGGAATAGGTAAATTAAATATGTTTTGAGTTGTTATAAATGTATTGAAATTAATTTATTAATAAGAACGTCCGGTAATGGATATGAATATACACTTTTTACTGAATCAAAAAAATTATTAAACATGATAATAAAAACTTGGCGCTTTTGTTTTGGAAAAATTGGCTTTTTCTGGTGGTCTGATGCCACACTGGCTCAGTTGTCGCAAAAGTACAAATACATACACGCATTTTTACTTGAAACTAAGTGTGTAGTGGTTAATATGTATACGTTGCCATTTTCGTACTGCTCACTTCACACTCGCGTGCTCGCAGTAGCCCGCGACGTCGACTGCGTGCACCTCTGCTGTGTATCCAGTGTTGCCATTTTAGCCATTTTCCGGCTAGATTTAGCCGGTTGCGATAGCAAACAGCCGGAGAAATTTCGATTTAGCCGGCAGCCGATTTGTTAGCCGTTTTGCAGGAAAAAATTAGCCGTTTTTAGCCGATTTTGCTATTTGTCTCGTTTTCTTAAATTTCAAATATGTATATATGTTTCCATTTTTGACTAAGCGACCCAAAATCTGTTAGAAATAGCTACTAGCCTTATCGTGGAGAAAATTTTCATGTCAGGCAGGGTTGCATGAAATTGGGCCGATTTCGCTTATTTTTATTTTAAACGAAGAAGGGATTTTCTTCATAAAATGTTTGTTATAAATGTCTTAATTTTAAGTGTGAAGTTGTATTTGCAAACTTAGAAAATAAGAGTTTTTTTTACTCTTAAGACACTTAAGATTCGTTTGTGTTTGGACATAGTGCCAACAAACAGAGTAAATATTACATGTAGATATTGTCTCCCCAGATAGCGCATATTCAATTCTGCCTAAATTACAAACCATCATTTTTGCCCACTCCCAAAGGTTTAAGGTAAGGGAAAAATTGATATTTTCAAGCACTATGTACACATATGTATTTTTATAAACAAACTTTTTTGCTGAGATTTTATTTAAATTCCAAAAACCGAATGCCAACTTGAATTAAC